AACTCGCCGAGCAATTTGAACTCGCACCTGCTGAACACTCGCGTGGAGAAATTACGAAGCAAGTTCAGATTCCTGCAGGACATTGGATTGACGCACGAGGAGGCGGCGAGGGTTTGCGCGAGAATGCCGGCGATATTCGGGTACAGTGTAGAGGAGAATCTGCAGCCGAAGATTGAGTATCTGATGAAGGAAATGGAGAGGGAAGTGGAGGAATTGAAAGGATTTCCGCAGTATTTTGCGTTCAGTTTGGAGAGACGAATCGCGCCAAGACATTTGCATCTCAAACAGAGGAACGTTCGAATTCCGCTCAACAGAATGCTGTTGTGGAGTGATAATAGATTTTACACGAAATGGAAATGAAACTCACCAATTATGTTACGTAAAGAAAAATTAAATTGTATTATGAACTTAGTATATAACTTATAATTTCTTTTGCCAACTCGAGCTTTGCATATTACGGACTAAAATATAATTTAATTGGTCAAGATATAAGTAATCTCTTTTATGGTCACAAATTCGAATTTCTACCCTTTTTTTAATTATAATATTAATAATAAATAAATAAAAAGTCACAATTGTTCTTTCCCAAACAATGGCATTATGGTATATATGTTACAGGAAATTTACGGCCTACTTGCTAATGTTCTCCATTTTCAGTAAAGGCTAATATCCTCTATTTTCAATAAAAAAAAATATAATTAATGACACGAGACCCATAGATTAGAACCACTAAGAATATTTTTTTATATTTTATAATAAATTGAAAACAATAATAAGAAACAAAAAACTTATTTATGTTTTTTAAAATTTCTATATAATTTTGAAAATATTTCTGAAAAAAGATAAGACACGGAAAACATGAACAGATATTAAATGCTTAGATTTTTTAATAAAATAAAAAACAAAAAACAAAAACTTTACCAAATGCTTCCAAAGTCAAACTCTTTGTAGAGTAAAGTTTCACAATTTTTGACCAATCATGTGACATTACACCTTTTTCAAATTTTGTATAATAGACCTCTAAGCTTTTAAGAGTAAAATTAATCCTTAAACTTTAAATTTTATGTCTAATAAAATTATAAGTGTTTAATAGATTTGTAAACTCTCAATATTGTATCTAATAAATCTCAAACTTGAGATTTATAAAATTCATCKACATATTAAATATTAAATACGAAATTTAAAGATCAAAAGTCTTAGACAAAATTATGTAAATTTTACAAATGTCAAATAAGTAAAAAAAAAAAAATCTATTAGACACGAAATTAGACATGATGTTGAAAATTTAAGAAGCTATAATACTAGTTAAAATTCAAGAACTTTATCACACACCAACTATGAACTTGTAATTTAACCTACAATGAAAGAATCATCCATCAATGACAACACTTCAGCAAAAGCAATATTTTGGGAGAGGGTGATGGGGATAACTGTATTATATGATAATTTTTTTAAGGAAAATTCCAAAAATGCATTTGAATGGATTGACTTATTCCATTTCATTTTGATTTAGTATTTCAAATACTTGTTGTAAGTGTTCGACGTGGTCATCAACCTGAAGAAACTTATAAACTTTTCAAGCTAGCGTTAAGAAACTCTGCATTAGGCCGGGGGCATAAAATCGTCTATTACTCTTAAAACAGAGGGGTCCCAGCAGTATTCCAACCACAGTTGAAACACGCATCTCGCCACCGAGCTCGGTTTTCTCTCCGAATCCTCTTGTTCAGCCCCATCATTGGAATCTGCCGAGTCAATTTGCCGAAACTGTGGAGAGAGTACAAAAACTGAACTAGTGAAGTAATCAGTTGGGAGAAGAGTACCAGGTCATCTCTATTTTGTCAACAGTTCAATATCTGCTCCAACTTCAGCAATCTTGGAATCTTTAGAAGTCTTCGCTTTTCGGGCAATGCTCTGGACATCGAAGTCCAGTGCTGTTCTTTTCACATCATCACCACCTTCAAGCATCTACAGAAAAACACAGCAAAGTTTCTTTGAATTTGACCAATAAACAGTAAATAACTGATATCTTATATATCAACCATGCTTTAGGGTAAAGTACAGTACAGGTATAAAATTTCAAGCAGGTTCAGAGTTTTAAGTGATGAATCAGCAGAAAAGTAATTGGTTGTCTTAAACTCACAGGAAAATAGTTCCAAGGAAACATCGTTTTTTCTATGGAAAATCGAGCTTTCATCGAAATAAATGAAGAATATACAAGGTTATACCAAAATTAAAAAAAAAAAAAAAACAAAAGGAGTCCAAACGGAAGTTAATGAAGTAAAAAGAGTCTCCAATCCAAAATAATATAACTGATAATTACAAAAACCTTCAGAGGGAGGTTTCGACAAAAATTGTTACAAGGAAATGTAAGTGAAATAATAGTAAGAAAATACCATGGATCCAATGGCAACCAAGGCCCTGAACTTTGAATCAGCTTCAAGATTTTCCTCTTCTGCAATCTGCCAAAAGCAATTAATGGTATCATGATGCATGGAATCAAAAAAGTTCCCACAGAACAATGACCTGTAACATGTATCAAAGTCTAGTTTCCTCGAAGAACTAGAGCAGAAAGAAATCAGATTTATGTACGTATGAAATTGTGTGACAACGGAGAAACGAACTACCTCAAGCGCGGCTGAAAGAACTTGACCCAGACCATCAAGATCCTTCTTCTCAATTAACAACACAGCAAAACTGACGAGCCCACAAAAGAAAAGAAAAGGTGGAGCACTCATAGTAAGCCATCAACGTAGGAAAATAAAATAGTAAATCCAACTATGACAGCCAGATGAAGATGAAACATAGTTTTTTATTGAAAAACTGAGATTTCTTTGAAAAAGGGAAAGAAGGATGAAGAAACATATTTCACATATGGTATTTTGAAAATTCCTGTAACTATCCCAGATCCTCCATCATTTCCAACTTCTAAAATAATAATTAATAAGAGATGCTTTTTCTTCACGTAACTTGTAATTCTTTTCAATTGAATAATAGATTCTTCTCAATTAGAAATGGAGAAATGGAGAAAGGGGGATCTGTCATGATCAATGAAAGTAGACCACCTCATAAGTCATAAATCTAACGGTCACTCAAGTTCCACTTAATCCAACATATAAACAAAACATATATATATATATATATATAAATAGACTTACTTGAGGATCAATGTTGAAAAGGACAGTTGTATGGCCTTATTTGCAGACGAATAACTACTTGAAAACGCATCAAGAATCTGCATGATAATTTTTTTAAATGAATAGACAGACAAGGAAAATACCACTTCAGAGATTAAAAGTCCATCGCAGAAGCACAAAGCTAAATATTGAGTTTTCAGGTTTGACATTCCTGAGATCACGATAAATGTGTTATTTATTTTATATGAAGGCAATAAACCAATAAATTATTTCCTATCAGATTGAAGGTTGATAACCAGTGAGATGTATTAGTTTAGATGGATTCAGGACCAACTATTATTTAACAACATTATAAGACCCCATAGCACAACATAAACTAATCATACACAAGTATTTCGATCAGGTAAAATAAAATTAAGTTTGGAATTCGAACCTCACTACGATGTTTCTGTAACCAGTTGTAATAACCTGAATTCTTGAATAAATTGACCATTAGCCGAATGCTTGTTAGAAGATTTGCAGCAATCACAGGAGTAGTTGTAACTTTCTGAATCAGTTCCAGTAGAATATCTGGCAAAAATTCAAGGCTGCAAATATCAACATAAAGAGAGAATACTATATAATGAAGAAAAACACGGGCCTTGCTTGAAAATTTGCAATTATTTCTTCAATATTCAGAGTGTGTTTTGGCTCATAATCTCAAACTAGTTTCTTAAAGATGACAAAGAAAAATGGAAACTCTTTAAAATCAATGATGTATTTGTTTGTGGTATCCTAAAATTATTTTAAAAATAAAAGAGTTCTAAGAGTATATATGGTTCTTTAACAATCTTTTGATGGCAGTTTACTAGATAATATTTAAGTTAAAATTACTTTACTTTTAATGTTAGAAGAATTTTTATCTTGAACTTATGATTCACGAAATTATTTATTTTATTTATCAAAATTATAGTTGCTACTACTTGAAAGGAAAAAGTGGCATCCAGAAGAATATCTAATGTTAAAAACACTCCTAACGAGTGTTTGAAGTTATTGATAATTCTTCAATATTTAATAATTGGTCCAAGAATAGTATCTGCAATTTAAAAGAATCTACACAACCAAAAACATTTTTATGTACCCTTTTATTTTTCAGTTTTCACTCTTCCTGAATTAGTTATCAAACTTATGCTTAATTCATAAAACTTAAACAAATTTGGTATGGATAAGTTGCTGGACAATTGATCCAAAAAAAAAAAGTTGCTGGACAAGGATAGAATGATATGGATAACATAATTAAAATTGGTGAATCTGACTTTTGTTGTAGGTTATTGCGAATTGTACAAGGACAAGGGGGAAGCCTAAATCTTAATGTAATTACCATCAGAACCAACAAGCTTCAAAAGTAGTATAGCTCCGTCAGGGTGCAGAACAGTCATCCTCAGAATGTCAATAACTGTAGAACAAAGGGTGAGTGTCACTTGATCAACATGATAAAAACCAGATTCATTTAAATAAATAAAAAAAATTGGAACAAACACCAATATCAATTTTTAGCCACATGGACAAAGTAAAGGAGAGAAGGAGAAGTAGAAACAGAAGACAACCAGAATAGTCTTCTACAATTACCTGGAAACAATGATTCACGAGGCCATGATCTAAGCAACTTCAGTAACAATACAATATCAGCATCTGCAAATTTGGTAGAATGGTAATGTGATGTATCCTTCAAAATTTTGGCAATAGCATCAAGTCTGGAAACCTCAAGCTCTGGCAAAGCACAATTCTTTTTTCCCTTCAAAAAAATGAAAAATATGATTAATGAATATGGAAATCATATTTATCAAGGTACAATAATACAATTACAAAAACAATATTAAGTAACAACATTCAAAGAAAGAGTAGGTTTGGTTGCAAGTAATAAGATGGTATTTCATCAACCAGAGAGTTGCGACAGATTGTGTGTAGAAACTGGATAAAAATTGTACACTATTGTTAAAAAGAGGGAAATTAGACCAATATAGAGAAACCTACTGGATCGGCAAGCAGCACATTGTTGAACTCAACAATCTTTTTTAGTATCCCGTCAAACTGAGCAACATCAAACACAAGGACTCCTTTCTGGAATAGTTGGCGGGAAAAAAAAAACAAATAAGACACACACACAAGGAAAAATGGCCAAACTACTTCATCTAAGTAATGTAACTAGAAAAATAACCTTGATTAACTTGCATTAATAAAACCAAAAGGGGGCTTATACATCACGACCATAAAAAAACATAAGACTCGTGGTTCTTGTTCTAGCATAAGTATACAGCACAAACGAATTACTTGTGCCCA